TAGAAAAATGAGAACTTTCCAACGGGACATCCAAAAAAGGAAAACGGGAACATTCCAACGGGACGAAGGGAATATTAACAACTCTGTATTGGTCATGATTTCTTTGAATTTCTTTCCGGTTTATTTTAAGAAAATGTTTCATTGAATAGACATAACATAAGTAAAAAACACTTGAATCACGACAATTACTTGCTTGGAAAATTACTTTTTAGGATGCTTTTACCGAATGGTTAAATAAATGGGAAAATTTCATATTTTGAAAATAGAATTGATATATTTCTCTTTCCGATATAAATGACAATATTTACAACAGTTTTCAATTATAACAATAACAATTCTTATATAGCAATTTCCCTTGCCAAAATAAACAAAAGCGTACTTGCAAATTGAAAATTGACTTCGGTCTAACATGCAACTACGAGATCTCTAATGCTATAATGTGCATGATGCACATGTGGTATAAGAGATAGTCACATAAATATTAACAAATAAATTATTTCTCTCCTTACTTGAATGATTTTGTATAATTTTGGTAAGTTTTTTTTTCTGCAATGTCAAACAGAAAAAAAAAACTTTTTGTACACATTCTTATATACATTTTTGTACACACATATGTTTGTGAAATGTTATTTTTTGTGAATATCGACTGAGAGACAATATTTTACTCAAACAAAAAAAACTTCATAAACACGGTCCTTATAAAATGTGTAAAGGGTGTGTACAAAGTTTTGCAAACGGAATGTCCTATAAAATGTGAAGGAGAATCAAGATTTCCCCATCTTTCACCGCCATGGATCCACTAATGCTCCTCCGCGAGTACACAATCCGCAACGAACTCGATCGGATCTCTCGAGTTGGAGACGAGTTCCGATTTGGGAACGACTACTCCTTCCCCGGCTCTATAGAGACGGGCTACCGCTCGAAGCAGGGGAATCGCTATACTCTCGAAACCCTAGTCCACTTCATCACTAACACCCAGGTCAAGCACACCGATTACATTCAGCATGCCCGGTCGAATCGGATTCATCCTGTCACTCTCCCAGACCGCAAGCCCCTCGTAGATTACCTCACCGGGAAAATATCTTCTTCGGATTCCATCGAGTTCATCAAGTACGACGCAGGTCCCATTCCGGCGGTTCCTTCTATAGCTGGAGCTGAGAATTATGGCAATGCATACGCTGAGGGTAACGATATGCCTGATACCTGGGCTTTGGATGGACAAAACCCTATGGATATGATTCGAGCTATCGAGAGGCCGTTGAAGGACCGAGAATCAATTTTGCTATGTAGGAACCGAGATTTCTATACTGTGTTGACTGCAGCTGTGCGGAGGGATGAGGAGAGACAGAGGGAAGAAGCTTTACAGAGAAAAGATGGATTGGTTGCAAAAAGTCGGTTGGAGAGAGGGATTGGGTACGGGGGTGGTGAGGATATAGGGTATGATGGAGCTATGAAGACTAAGATGCATTTTAAGGGGAGCAAGATTGGGGAGGGGGTGCCTATCATTCTTGTTCCTAGTGCATTTTCTACATTGATTACTATATACAATGTGAAGGAGTTCTTGGAGGATGGTGTGTATATTTCCACAGATGTGAAGTTGAAGAAGATGAATGGTCAAAAGCCAGAATGTGTGACCGTGCAGAAGAAGTTCAGTAGAGACAGGGTGGTCACAGCCTATGAGGTCAGGGACAAGCCATCCGCATTAAAGGCTGAAGACTGGGATCGAGTGGTTGCTGTTTTTGTGCTGGGGAAAGAATGGCAGTTCAAAAGTTGGCCTTTTAAGGATCATGTTGAAATCTTTAATAAGAGTAAGTTCTGATTGATTGCAAATCCAGTATACAGTTTGGTTATATGAGCTTGAGTTACTGTTTCATTTCATCTCATATGCTCCAAAAACTTAAAAAGATTGGACTTTACTGTCTTTGTTATAGTTCAATTGATAGGTTAGTTAATGTTGGCATACTAAATTATTTGACTGCATTTGTCAGCAGAATCTACTATTTGCACTGATAAGTGATTGAACCTATCTATACTGGCTTTGGTTGCAGTTATTGGTTTCTACTTGCGTTTCGAGGATGACAGTGTCGAATCCGCAAAGACTGTAATGCAATGGAACGTCAAGATTATTTCGGTAGGCAAATTTGTTTTTTAGCCTTATCTACTTGCTATGCTGCTTGCTATCTAGTACGGCGTACTATATTATAAAAGGGACTGTAAGTTACTATAATTTTCATGTTTTGTCTACTTTTAATCAGAAGTGTTATCTTTTGATGTGCAGATTAGCAAGAACAAGCGACACCAGGACCGAGCAGCTGCTCTTGAGGTGTGGGACAAGCTTGAAGAATTTATGCGGTCTCGATCACGTTGATTTTGTCATTTCACATAACTTATGCTAAAAGGCATCAGAGCACTGTTGTCTACATGAGACTCATATGCTTATAAAGGTAGTAAAACACCTGCTCGAGAATATCCAGAGCCTCCAAAAGAATATCCTTATAGGATGATGGCCTCCAAAATGAAATTTAACCAGAGCCTCTGTGTAGATCTAACTGATGAGAAATTTGTGTTGGAATGTGATTTCCTTGCATTGTCTTCATTGTATCCTTATTATTCTTTTTCAGCTCCTAATCTACCTTTACAGCCACACAATATGTATCCATTTTGTTCTCTCATTTTTTCGTGTCACACATTCCACAGCAGTTTTGATGTGGAATTGTACGGTCATTGTACCGGTATACCTCTCCACAAGTCATTAGCAAATATACTTATTTGGTAGGAGTAACTAGTCAGTACAGTATTTGGCTAGTTACTGTTTCTTATTTTTTTTCAGTCTGATACTCTAATAGAAGGTTGTGCAAAAAAGATGATGACTTTAGATGAAAGTAGTTTCTACTTATGGAAGTTTTGCCATAAATTGGTTTTATACAGAGGACTTATCCTACAAAAAGCAGTTCATAGCACCATAGTTCTTTATAGGCATGGACCGGTTCGGGCCCGGCCGGGCCTCGGTTCAAGAAGGAGAGGCCCGGAACCGGCCCGGGTAACCCCCGGGTTTGGGCCGGGCCGGGCCTCGGTTCTATTTTTTTTTTTTTGGCTTTTCCTAGTTAACCCCCAACCCTCCCCCTCACCCCAAACCAACCCTAACCACCTCAAATGGCCCAAAATACCCAGCCCAACCCAAAAACTTAAAAAAATTCAAAAAAAAATTGGCCCGGGCCCGAACCGGCCGGAACGGTTCACCTTTTGAAGGGCCCGAGCCCGAACCGCCATCCCACCGGGCCGGTTGTCCCAAACCTGTTCACCGGGCCGGGCCGGACCTGCACAGTAGCGGGCTGGTCCGGTTCCGGGCAGGTTGGCCCGGCCCGAGTCCACCCCTAGTTCTTTAGGAGTGGTGCACCTGGCTTGCCCTTTATGTTCCCAAACTGGCCGGTGGAGGCCAAAGTATATACTTCCTCCATCCTAAATTGAATTGATTTTTGCTTATCCTTTGGGAATAAGACTTGGATAGTTGGATGTTTTGTAGAAAAGGCCATTAAAAGATCTACAAAGTCGCAAAATTCAGATGAGAATATACTAAGTCATAAAAATTTGATATGCTAAATAAGTAGACAAAGTAAAAATGTGTTAGACCAATAAAATTGACTTTGCGAATCATTTTAAGATGGAAGGAGTATTCCTTAAAGTTTATTTGTTCTTACAAAATGTCTTTTCTTGTATTTTTTTAGTTAATTACTCTTTTTTTAATATGGATTACATGTGTAATGTTCTCCGAAGAGGAGGAATATATGGATTTTAATCCGTTGCTTACACACATTCATGATACATTGCAATTTGCAAGACCAAGACAATGCATCCATATCAGTTCTTGATAATTTTGTCATGAAGAAATTAAAACAACACTACTCCTAAATTGGATAGTTCTGGATGAATAATTTATATGGTACTGTTGGGTTATTATTGACCAAGATGTTTTCCTTGTTGTCGACGTTTTCCCCTTGAGTATCCCCATCTCTAAAGCAATGTCAAGCTCGTTATTGGTACTCATCTCAAAGGTGGATCAACCAAACTTTTGGATAATTCAGATTTCAGATCAGTTTTCTTCTACCTAATATTATTTCAGGTCAGCTTTATAGAACATAGACAGAACTCAGAAGTGGACATTAGCTTGGCTCAAGAAATCATGGAACTGTAGACAATACAATAGAAGGTTAAAAATCTAGCTACTAAACTAGATGTGGTTAATGCTTTTGATAAGTTTCATGAACTTTCTAATCAAGTGTGATAACTAAACTTGGCTAGTTGGCTTCTCATAGAACAAACCTTTCCGTATCGGTGAATGGTGTCTCAATTTGCTTTTTTCCCGAGCCATTAGAGCATCTCCATTCGTGATCTCTAATAATCAATTTTTTATATGATTCTTACCATTTAAATATTGTTATGTAATTAATTATTAAATAATCTCAAAATTCGTTTATGTCTCTCGATCATCATCTTCAAATAATCTGTTTTTTCTCTGTCCCGCATTTATCTCTATTACATATACTTTTCAAATAATCTTAAAATAATCCGGATTCATATTTTGATCCCAGATTATTGTAGCAAATAATCATATTAAATAATCTATGTCACTCATTGATAATTCTCTAAAAAAACTGTCATGTCACCAATTTAATCTTGTAATAATCCTCCCAATGAGGATGCCCTTAGAGGAGACAAACAGAAACCCTCTTTTCCTTATCTTTTCATGTTTGCCTCAAAACCCTTTCCTAGAAACTCAAACACCTAAATTAAGAAGTAAAAATAGTTTTTCATTAGAGATATTTCAATCCTTTGGAGGTTTCCCGATTATTACGGATTTTAAAGGAATTTAGAATTCCATCAAAATCTTGGTGTCCTCAACTTGGATTTTCAAAGCTTCTTTAAAATCTGGGTGTCCTCAATTACTCCATAGATTTGTTTCTCTTGGATTTCAGCCGATTTTAATAGATTTGGTACGAAAAATAACACTAATTCAATCCCACCGATTCTCTTTGCCTTCACTACCCAGCCTGCACTACCCAGCTACCTCTCCCGTTCATTCTTCTTCTTCTTCAGCCGACCCCACGCTCCCGGCTCCCCCTTCTCAAATCCTCCTCCTCCTCATTCGTAGCCACCTACCCTCTAAAGCCACTTCCAGTCCATTTCCTACCCATCTTTATAGCACTTTCAGCTTTAGGAGATGGCCATGTTCTTCCTCTTCAGAGAACTTTTTATTCCCTGCAGGTAGTTCATTCTGTTTGATTATATTCACAAATGGGTCCTCTAATTTACTATAGCCTTCTCAAGATTCATGTACAAATGTACAATTACCATTTGTAAAAAGCGAAATGCTAAAACCGATGCTGGCTTGCGGCAAAATCTACATCTCCGAGAGCAGAAACAGAGCCGCGCTCGAATCGATTGAAAGAGCGGCCAAGCTTTTCCCAGGGGTCGCCATTATCAATAAGTTCGAAGATGAGATTTACAATAGAGTCGGGTACACAATCGTCTCTAAATTGGTTCGTCGAGGCCAGCCGATTAAGCAACAATGTCCATTAAAGAACGCGATTCTGGAGATGATCAGAACTGCTTTGGACACCATTGACCTTCAATTGCATTCTGGGAATCATCCTAGGGTTGGTATTGTTGACCACATCTGCTTTCACCCATTGGCTTCCACTGCTTTAGAAGATGTTGCTGGAACTGCTAAATCTTTGGCAGCTGATGTTGGCTCAAGTCTTCAAGGTTGGCTTCTCAAATCTCTTTGGGGTTTTGAGATTCTTTATTTGGATATCCTTGCTATATTCTTTGAACTTGTGTTTATACACTGCTATTCTTTATTTTTTCCATTTGGATGAAGGCATTTAAGGCTATGTTTGGGAAATGTAAAATTGGAATGAAATGGACAAGTTTATATGCAAAATAGATTCTCTTGCTACCAGGAAATGCGTAGGGAAGTTAATTTTGATCAAAACATTCTAAATTATTTTTTTGCTTTATATAACAGAAATATAAGCGAGAGTAACTAGTTACTTTCTTCTTATTCTTCAGTTGTGTAGCCTTCTTAGTAGAAGTCTAGAAGATGTATTTATTGTCTCTCCCTACATATCAAGTAGTATTTATATCTACCTCCAATATTTACCTTCTCCCACAATTGTATTTCCAATAGGACATCTTATTGACTTGTTTTGGGTTTAACTCAGGATTAGTAGCAAATTCACATCTATTATCAGAATATAAACTATATGTGCAATCATCATCTTCTGTAAAAATCTCCTGTTAAGGCTGTTATCAGTTATTATATGAGATATTCTACAAAAAATCTCAATACCATTTTAAGCTTACTTTTCAGTCTTTTATTAAGCTGTATGCAAGATGCCATACAGTCTCCAGGCATATTTGGTTTTATAGTTCGATTGGGTGGTTAGTTTGGGAAGGCTTTCGAGGGAAATATCTTCAATCCTTGATAAATTGAATGTCTCTCGAAACAAATAAAAGGTGATTGAAGTAGTAAAGAATCACATCTTATTTTAATCTTTGAATTATTGTAAACTCAAGTGCATATTATCAAAATAAAGATTAATCCCTCTTAACCCTTCCCTTCCAATCCCCTCCATAACTAACCCTTGAAACGGAGCCTAAGAGATGAGCGGATGGCTCTGATATCTTTCCACCATCTAGTACAAATCCTAGTGAGAGCCCCAGACATAAAAAAACCCAAAAAGATGGTTTCTGAATTAAGGAGAGGTATGCTATTTGCCTACTGTTTAACAAATACAGGAGTGATCAGAACCATCATTATCGATTATATCTCCAACTAAATTCCAATATATTATCTAATCCTCTGAAGGGACCGATATCCTTCCCATCAAGCTTCCTCCGAAGTGAAGTGCGGTTCAGTTAAAGAAGCTTTCAGCATCCTATCCTCCCAAACTCATCACAAGACTGCTGGTTGGATGGATTGACCCCTATCCTTTTCTTCACTTTCTTAAATTAGCAGCAAATCCAGCAATCAGCCAGTGTAGGTTACATGAATCAGCCTGACCAAGCAGTAAGAGGGTTGATTTCTAAAGCCAAGTGTAACACCATACCTATTAACTTGATCTTTTGCTAACCATGCACTCGCGACCAAAAAGAGAGCTTAAGTGGTGAAGCTAACTGAGAGCCTTTCACCTGGCTAGGCATCCTTTTAATCCCCTCTAACTGTATGATTTGATTGCAAGCATATGATATTCATATTCTAATAAATTCTATTGTAAGGTGAATTTGAAATTGGTTTTTATTAATTTGGTGGTAAAGTTTTATACTCTAACTAGTTTAATATGTGCTCGAAAATGATTGCATTTCATATTTGCGGTTGGAGCTACACGGTTTTCATTTATTTGTTTTCCATAATTTTCTTGGAATGTTTTTTATGTTATTTGTTAATAAGTACATCCATACTAGTTGTAGGATTAAACATATACTCCCTCCGTCCCGAAAAGGTTGGCCAAATTTCCTTTTTTAGATGTCCCAAAAAGATTTGTCATTTCCATTTAAAGTAAGGAATATGTGGCTAAAATTAATTCTCTCTCCTCTACACAAATTTCAACCACACAGTTTTGACTTTATTAATCCACGTGAAAGTCAATTTTGGCCAACCTTTTCGGGACGGAGGGAGTATATGTTTAATCCTACAACTAGTATGGCAATGACACTTTTGACCGTCTGCCCATCTATTGATTTTATAGTTTTTGTCCTGACTATTGTGACAGTGACACAATAGTCAGTGGCCTAAATGTGGAAAAATTCAAAGATGGGTGCCTAAAACGTCATTGTTACAATAGTGAAAGAACTAAAAAGGTAGAATATTCAAAGACAGATACCAGAAGTGTTATTGATAAAACTAACAATGGAAAAACCCTTGTTTATGAAGAAGAAGAAAAAGTCTCCTCTCAGCGGCATGTGTTACACAATGGTTTTAAACTTGGGAATCAGTGTCATACTCCTAAATAATCAAACACATTTTGCAGTTCCAACCTTTTTATATGGAGCAGCGCATGGAGAGGGGAGGTCTCTTGATTCAATCAGACGAGAGTTGGGATATTTTAGCCCTAATGCCCACGGGAACCAGTGGGTAGGTGGGATGATTTCAGATACGTTGCTCGTGAAGCCAGATGAAGGTCCGAATCAAGCAGTTCAATCCAAAGGCATTATTGTGATTGGAGCCACCGGGTGGGTGGATAACTACAATATTCCTGTCTTCTCCAATGACATCAATGTTGTTCGTAGAATTGCAAAGCGGGCCAGCGGCAGAGGAGGCGGGCTGACATCGGTGCAATCTATGGCACTTTGTCATACAGAAGGTGTCATTGAGGTGGCTTGCAACTTGCTGGAACCAAACAAAGTTAATGGCATTCAGGTTCAACTGGAAGTTGAAAGACTTGCCAAAGAAGAGGGCGTGTGTGTAGGCAATGGGTATTATACTGATCTTCCACAGGAAAGCATAGTAGATAGTTACTTGAAATTGGTATAAGATATACGTAGTACTGTCTTTCTCTTCAAACTTCAATATATTCTTTTCGAACCTATTATTTGGGGTGTTTGGAAAATGACGTTTCATCCAAAAATGACAATTTTACCCCTTTTAGTTTGAAAACGTTGTTTGATAAATAGTTGTTACTTGTTAGGCCCTAGCATTTTTAAACAAAACCGTTGAAATGAAAACGTTGCAAGTATGAGAGTTTTGGGTTAGCGTTTTGAAATATGTTGTTTTTTTACTAATTATTGTGTGACCAAATAGCTAAATTATCAAACATCTTCTGGCATCCCGCTAACATATTCTGCTAGTCAAAGTGTCAAACTCGTTGATTGAATCCGTTATCGACAATTCGCTAACATAATTTGTTATCCGTTAACGGTTAAATGTCAAACACTCCCATTACCTAAAATTCATTGTTGCCACGGCGCCCACACCTTATTTTGATGCTTCTGGTCTTTTGCTATAATATATTACTCTCTCGCTCCCATAGTAAACTCATGTTTTGACTTTTGACTTGACACATGAATTAAGAAGGTAAGAATTGTGTGACTTAAAATTGTATAGATGAGATAAATAATCTTAACCACCGATCTTTTGTCATAAAAGGAAAGTCAAGTTTATTTTGAGACGAATGAAATATGAATGAATGAAATAGGGAGTAATATATATATATATATATATATATATATATATATATAGTAGTGTTTCGGTCTGGAATTCCTGACCGGAAGCGCCGACCGGACGGCATCATTTGTGGCGCTTCCCGGTGACATTTTTGATGAAATTTTTATGTCATGTTCTTCATCAAGTCTAGTTTATCCACAAAAAAGTTCAGATAAAAACTCAACCGGGAAGGCCATCAAATGATTTTTGAAAGATAACTGCGCCGGAAAATACATAAAAAACGTAGTTAACTTCCAAAATTTATTTGATGACCTTCCCGACTTTATTTTTAGCTGAATTGTTGTGTGGATAAACTAGACTTGATGAAGAATATGTCATAAAAATTTCATCAAAAAATTCAATCGGGAAGGCGGCCAAACGCCGCCGTCTGGACGGCGGTTCTGGTCCGGAATACCTGACCTGAACATTTGTCTATATATATATATATATATATATATATATATATATATATACATATATATATTATTTTTACTCCAGAGGGGTCGGGGGGAGGGGGGTTGGGGCCTGAAGTAATCAAGGCTGAAACTCACTCCATTGAGTTTCAAACTCTTATGTGCCTAGCGGGTTTCGAACTCGAAACCTCCCACTAGGCACGGTAACCTCACAAACAGCTGAGCTGGAATGCTTGGTTAGTAGGGATTAATATATATGATAATGCTTTGAACTCTTCTAAGGCAAGTGTTAAGTTGTTAACCATAGTGCAAACTCCAAAGGCATATTAATGATGACCGAGTATAGACTCAAATGGTTATGGTATGTTTAATGAACTCTTTGTTGTTGGAATGCTAAATTAGAAGAATATTCTTTAAAGTTTTAGTTAATAGGGAGTATTAAAATCACGAAGAACAATCTATAAGCTCATTTGATAACACAAATAAGGTTATGTTTGACACAACGAGCTGAAGCTGAAGACTAATGTCGGAATTGAGAGCTGTTGTCTGAATTAAAGACTATTGTCTGGACTGAATTATGAAGTGTTGAATCCAAACTGCAAGCTGAATGGAGTATGCCCGTTTGGCATAAAGAGCTGATACGGTGACTGGAAAATATAAAATTGCATTTTAAAGGGCATATACATATTATTCCAAAAACTATTAGAATGATTTTTTATATTTTAATAAATGTTAAGATTATAGTATGTATGTACTTCGTATAATACTTCGTATAAGAAGTATTTTTTTCAAAAAACTACACTTTAAGTGATACCGTTGATATGTAGTATTATCCGAAATGCAAAACACAAAGAAAATATATGAAATTCAAACAATGCTCCGTATTTATTTTTATTAGAAAATAAAATTTCGATAATCTTCCTATAGTGTTCAGAACACTATAATGTTGTTCTGTTATGTGTTCCCTACTTATTCTAAATTATAATGCTGAATTACATACACCTCTTAGTTAATGGGTGAAACAAATTCAACTAGAGAGATGTGTCGTCAATTGTATATGGGTATCCTCAATTTTCAATTGAATTTCGTGGTGTTGCACTCACCGGAAATGAGAGAACGAAAAAGAGATACTGAGATAGTAGGGATATTTTAGGCAGGTGTGCGGTATATAAGGTTAGCTGATTACAAACGTTCCATGGAGAAACGTTTTTGTTCAGCCTACTTTTTTCAAATTCAGCTCAATGTAGTCTATCTTCCAAACAGTGCTAATTCTCCATTTATTAGCTGAACTTAAAAAAATCTAACCCATTATCAGCTGAAATGGCATGCCAAACATAACCTAAGAACTAGTTTATTGCTGAAAGCTACACTAAAGTCAAGTTATGAGACGATCCAGGAGGAGGATTATATTAGTAATAATTCCACATTCTCTACAAGAGACTAATGTTGTTATCTGTATTCGGGGTGTAATTCAGCAGAGGGTAGAAGTAGGGTTGTAAACGAATCGAATAATTTTGATTCGATTCGTGATTCGAATTCGAAAATGCCGATTTGAATTCGAGTAAGTAGAATACGAATACGAATACAAATCTATTTTTTGATTCGAATACTTTACGAATACGAATACAAATCTATTTTTTGATTCGAATACTTTACGAATACGAATACAAATACTATGATATTCGAATATATTCGAATTATATATATATATATATATATATATATATATATTTATATATTTATATATTTATATATTCATACAATATATACTACTTCTTATGAATACATATAGTTCATTGTAAAAATATTAATAACAAAATATTCATGTAAATATTTTGCATATTTTAATTTAAAAATTCTTATTTTACCAGGTCAAAATAGCTTACTTTACAATTAAAATTCTCCGTTGATTTATCTATATTGATATTAAATTTGAAGTGACTTCTATAAATGAATTTTGTTTCCTATAAAATATGTAATATGAAAATTAGTTAAAAGGGACTAACTAACATCATAATTTTAATTATTTTCACAAATTAACTTTAATGTTTTTTGAATTCGAAAAAGATTCGAATATATCAAACGAATCGAATACGAATACAAAATAAGATTCGAATTTTAAACGAATACGAATATTCGATAATTATACGAATACGAATAACATTATCAAGTATTTGGTTCAATTCGATTCGTTTACAACCCTAGGTAGAAGGTGCCATAAGGAAGAGGTCCCGTGTTCATTAGTAATAATTTAACTTTTGCTACGAGAAACTGGTGTTATCACAGGGTATGGTAAATTGATATTTTCCATCACACGACTTTCGCCACAAACATATTTAATTGACATACTACGTATTAATTAAATATGTCAATTAATACTCTAATATGATAATTTAATCATTAAATATTAAAAATAATATATCTATAACTTCATAGTAATAATAACTTCACATATTTAGCAACACTTTTAATATAAAGTTCATGATATTTATATTACATAGGTAAAATTCAAATATTTATCTCACAAACCTATAAAGTTTGACGAATTAAAATTATTTCCACTCCACTATAAATACATAAATGATACTCCGTAATATAATTGATGATAGTGATTCATTTTGATACCCAAACTATTAATTGAAGTACACTCATACCCAAAGTATATTTATATGTTTCACAATAATAGCATCTCAGTAATATACTACCCTCATCTTGTTGAAAGGTTTCCATGAAAAAACGACATAGTTATTTAGACAATAATTAAATAAGGTAGTTTGAGTATATTTTAAAAAATAATTCTAGTAGGTATATAATATCATGAGATTAGTGTTGATAACAGTGATGTTATAAATGTATTATCTTTAATATTTAATGATTAATTTGTCATTTAAGATTGATAATTTTTTAAATGTAAACGAGAACCTTTATATGAGACGTCTAAAAAAGAAAAGTGGAAACATTTCTATTGAAAGGAGGTTAATATAGGGGGTGTTTGGAACTGATTCTGCTTCTGCTTCTTTTTTAAAGAAGAAGCAGAATCAGAATCAGTTTTCAGAAGCTGGTCACCCCCAGCTTCTAAAAAAACTGATTCTAGAAGTAAATTAGAGCATCAGAATCACTTCTGCACTTTCACCCAAACACTGCAACTTCTGCTTCTGCTCCCTGAAGGAGCAGAATCGGTTTTAAGAATCAGATTCAAACACCCTCATAGTCATGTTTGATAACTTTAATTTCACGTGAATTTGAGTATGAAATATGTATTCCTAGTTGCAGTAGTGTGGAGTTTCATTCGATTTGATAGCTCTGTGTGCTCAACTAGACTTTGAATCACCTAACTCAAAAATTTCTTGATATTTATCATATCGTGATTTACTCTTCCATCATCTTGTCGGATTGGAGCGTGGAGGCGCCCGAGTCATGAGGTGTACAATTTCACCTTTTGGGTTGAAAAAGAAATATGTATAGTTAATTGCCTTACCAGATTGATGAGATCATCCCCAGTCAATGTGATTCTAATCTAATTCTAATGTATGACACTGAGTAGATTACCTATATTGTAACACCGTCCCCAAATGTATTTATCTTTAAGCTAATAATTTATTGAACCCTATGAAATATTTAGTGAATTTACGAAGTTGTGAATTTGTATTAATTTTTTTCGCGTGAATAGTAAAATGCACATGGGGCCCACATCGGGAGTGGGGACCGCCGATATTATCGGGGCCACATATTATATTGATCTTGGACTAGATAATATGTATATGGCGGTGGATACCCTAGTTGAGCCATGACAATGGCATAGGGTTGACCGGTTGGTCAAACGGGGCCAAATTATCAGTATCGGCAATCTATCAGATAACAGCCCGAAAAGGGATTTCGGAGACTTCTAAATTAAAGTTGAGGGATGCATATTGATTCTAAGGTCCATTAAGAATTGGGAACAAGTGTTATATTTTATTTGACCCGATAAAATAAAATATACTTAATACAGTCCGAAAAAATACAACTTTCGGGGCAAATTGCACACTTTGGGACAAATTGGGATGACCTCCCACATGGGTGGGGGCCACCCCACGAAATTGTCAACCCTTTAGGGCTGGATGAGTGCCAAATTGGCTGAACAACAATTGAGAGGATGGGGGAGACACCTTTGACATGTAGTA